ACAGTAAGACAGTTTGAGCAGGAAGAATCACTTTCATATATCTTTTATTATCATATATTATAATTGTTCCCTTTTATTGACAGTTATTGCTGTTTAATTCTTCTTATGTCTATTTTATACATATAAGTTTACCCAAAGGTATGTATGTACAGATGGTTCCCAAGTGAGGGTGATTCCACTTAATACACTTTTTATTTTATAATAGTGCAAAAGTGATAAACTTTCAGAAGAAACCATACTTCCAGCATTCATACAAGTATTCTGTTTCTCATATTCAGTACAATATTCAATAAATTATATGAGATAGTCAACATTTAATTATGAAATCAGTTTTTTGTCAGATGACTTTTGTCCAACTATGGTTCTTGTATGTTAGGTGTATTAAATTATTTCCAATTATGATATTTTCAGTGTGATGGACTTGGGAACACATAAGCCCATCATAAGCCGAGAAACACATCTATAGAAAAAAATAGTGTGTATAGAACTGGGTGCTATCTCCAGTTTCAGGTATCTCCTGGGGGATGGGGAAGGTTTTAAAATTACCCACTGCAGATGAAGGGGAAACTAGTGTATTTAGTATTTTTTATTTAAAATATTTGTAATTTGCAGTGTTCTTATTGAGATTATGTTGTTTATGGAGGCGCAGCATGGGTAAGCATGGTATTTTAAAATGCCAGGAATGCTCAGCCTCAACAGGGGGAGGGGTTGCCACAAGATGTGAGTTTACCTCCAAGAGTGCTGATAGGTTCTATGGTGGATACATGAAGGAAAAAACAAACAGAAATATTCTGTTCTGCTTAAAAAGACCTGCCCTCAAGGGAAGCTATTTTATCAAAATCTTGTCTGAAGTTAACCACTGCCAACTCACAGTTGCAGGAAATAAATACACCTTAACATCTAGAGTGATCAGCAGAAAGCCTCATACAATCAGCCTAGTTACTTCAGGTCCTTTCACTCAAAAATAATGCCTTCCTCTTACCCCATACCTACAAGGCAAACCAAAAGCCAAGGAAAAGAAAACACTTGATCAGAGAAAACAAGCACTAGAACCATACTGAGGAGCCAGCAGGTGCTGTGATGGCTAGGGTGGCTGGATCTACTATGGGCAACTGGACCTGACAGCTTAAAAAACAAACAGGGCACACAGGTGTGCCTGCCCAGAATCCTGAAAGGAAGGGTAAGGAAGGGATTGAGGCATGAGCATTCTCTATGTACGGTGCATTCTGTCTTTGCTTCTCTCTCTTCTGTCACTCTTTGGTGAATGCATACACCTTCTAGCAAATTAAAAAAAAATAAAATCTGACTCAGACAGGGCAGAGATGATGCAATTATCTGTCTGGAAATGTGTAGCCTCTATGATTAACATTAAAAAGACCCAATCACAAAAATTGGACAATATGCAAGAAGAAACAAAGAATATAAGCAGAGATAAGGAAACCCTGAAGCAGTCAAAGGAAAAGATGCTAATGAAAACCTGTAACAGAGATGACGAACTCCTTTGGGGAATTCATTAATAAAGTCAACATAACTGGGGAAAAGAGTCAGTGAGCTTCAAAAAGGGTCAGTAGAAATTTCTTAAACTTAAGTACAAAAGTAAAATAAGAATTAAAGAAGAAAACAGGGCCAGCCATTGGCTAGTGGTTAAGGCAGTTGGATCCTGCATGACTGACTGCACACTTTGTGTCTCAGGCAAGATGACTTGAGAAATGCAGTGAGTGAGTGTGCATACATGTCCAAAGTTTCAAAAAGAGGTAGAGATAGAGAGCAAGAGATTGTGGGGTTACCATCAGCCATGACAGGTGCTTTCTCATTTTCCCTCTGTCTCTTTTTCCCTCAGAATAAATACCACAAAATCAACACCTAGTAATACAATATTCAAAGCCCAGAACATGAAAGACAAAGAAAAGTCCTAGTAGGTACCAGAGATGTGGAAATACTTTGCCAAGAAACAAAAAATAAGTACAACATGAAAATTCTCTTCAGAAGCCTTGGTATTAAGAAAAAAGTGGAATGACACAATGTTAAATGCACAGAACCATCAACCTAGAATTCTATCTTGCACAATTATTATTCAGAAGTTTAGAAACAATAAAGGCTTTCTGAGAAAGACAGAAATCAAGTGATATTGTCTCCAGTAAGCCTGTCTGACAAGGAGTGTAAAGGAGGTTCTTTATACAAGAAAAATAATAGAAGTCAGCAACTCTCATCTCTATAGTGAAAGGAGGAACTTTAGAGAAGGAACAAATGAAGGCCAAATGTAACCTAATTCTTAATTGATCCGTCATGTAACTGTTTGTTCTATATAACATTAGCCAGATAATAATAATAACAACAATCTACCTTGTGATAATAGCATAATGGCAAGTGAAGGAGGATAATAGGATAAGAGATGAACAAGGAGAATTGGCTCTTTCACAAGATATTCACTCTTCCCAGTAATGGTATAGTCTGCTCTTAGGCCACCATGGACTTAACTAGAAATCAGTAGCAAAATAGTTGGAAAGATAGGAACTATTTGGAGATTAAACAATGCACTTTCAATTTCACTTTTGCAGTATGGAAGGGTTTCTTTTTCTTAATTCCATTAGAATTTAAAATATTTTAGTCTAAATGATAATCAAAATAGTGATAATCAAATTGTGATAATTAGTGAAATATGCAGTGAAAGTTGTGCTTATAGGAGATGTTTATACTACATACTGAAATTAAAAGGACCAGTGACTATACCATCCCATTTTAGTGTTATTACAAATATCCCATATGACACATTGGTGCACTCACAGGAAGGATAACTCTCTAGATGAATATGACAATTGCAGAAATGCTCAAGTAGGCAGCAATGATGACAGGCTTCCAAAAATATACAAAACAATCAGGACCAACCAAGATGAAAATCATCACACAGAAGATGCATCTTCTGAAACAATAATATTTGAAATACTTAGATGCCTGGAAGACATTTAAAATATATCAATTACAAAGAATCATCCTTGGAAATCCTATAGCATGGGGCCAGCAGGTGGCATGGTAGTTAAGGGCACTGGCCTCCCACATGGCTGACTGCAGTTTGAGTCCTGGACCTGGTAGCTTTCTTTCTTTTTAACTTTCTCTCTTGATCTTGATCTGTCTTTCTCTGTTAAAATTAAGATAAATAAATAAATTTAAATAAAATAATTCTTAAAAATAATTTTAAGAAAAAAGAGAGAGACCAGCAGTTAGTGTAATAGCTATGTTGCTGGACTCCCACATAGTCGACCGCAGTTTGAGTCCCAGACCCGGTGGCTTAAAACTCATACTGGGCATGTGTGCATGCCTGTCCAAGATCCCAAGAGGAGAATGGAAAAAAAGGGATTGTGGCGTGGCCATCCCCTCTAGGGGGTGACTTCTCGCTTTCTGTCTCTCTCTCTCTCTGTGTCTGGCGAGTGCATGCGCCCTTTGGCAAAAACCTCTCCAAAAAAATGAAAGAGAGAAATCCTACACCAGTTTCTCAGGGATAACCCTCGGCCATCAAATCCCCAGGAGATTTCACTGTTTCAAGGAAGAACAGAGGTTGCCAGTCTCATGCTTTCTTCTGTAGCTGGTTGTTACATATTGTGACTGTGGGTGTTATCTTCAAGGAGAGCGTAATTATGAGTTTACCACTGGCCCTACCTCCCCCTGTTTTGATCCCTTTGTCTTCAATTAGGTGATTTTTTATTTTCTAGAGTGTGTATCTTCTTTCCTGAGAGAATGAAGAAAGGTGAGATAGCATTCCCTTTTCTAGGACAATCACTCCGCAATCTCTTCTTCTGAATTTCTTTGGTATTTGGGCACACAAGAACATGGATCTGGAGTGTTTCTTAATTATCCAGGTCTGAGATTCAAACTGCAAGTTGTCCAGGTGGGATCCAGCTGAATGAACCATAACGCCACTGATGGTATGGATTATACACTTTTTTTTTATCATTTAGGGATCAGCATAAGTAAAAAAGTACAATAGAAATATGACACTGTTTAGAAAAGATATTAAATTTCACTGCTGAGATAAAAGGTGGAGATAAGGGAAAAGCAGTTGGCATAATGGCTATATTGCTGAACTCTCATGTAGTATACCGTGTTTCAAGTTCCAGACCTGGTGACTTACACTCATGCCAGGCACACGTGTGTGCATGCCCAAGATCTCGAGAGGAGAATGGATGAGAAGGGATTATGGCGTGACCATCCCCCCCGGGGGTGGGTGATTTCTTGCTTTCTGTCTCTATGTCTCTCTCTGTCTGTCTGGCGAGCACATGCACCCTATAGCAAAAATATCTCTCCAAAAATAAAAAAAGAATTGAAACTGGTGACTGGATTAAGGGGATCCAGTACTGCCAAGGTCCTGTCTTTTCTGCAGCAAGGTAACATCATATTTGGACTCCATTTTTCTTTAAATCCTGTCCATTTAATTTCTGATGCTGAAGAGATAATGATCTGAGAATGGCAGGACAGTACTATGGAATAGAATGAACACCTGAGTCCCAGAGGGCATCCAGATGTAGAAGCTAGCAATGTCAGTACCAGTGTCTTTTATGTACTTTAGTAAATTACAAATAAATTCAAGAGAATATGTATCCCATACAGTAACCACAGTCAATTCCCTGTCCTGCTCTGCCTGAAACATGCCAAGTGCTCTCACAAATGCCCAAAACCTGATAGTGTGAAGGAATGGAAGAAGGTGATTATGGCATCACTAGACATTGTAAAAGGTGCCGTTTACTCTTTCTCACTCTGTCCTGTGCACATTCTCTACATGAATAAACAAGAAAAGACTGTATGACACTTAGCAGAGAAAGAAAAATGAAGATTACAGAATTCAAAAAAGGAAAGATGAGCACAATACTGTACTAACAGATTTTGGCACAAACACTTTCTGCATGATTCTAAAAGAAGTTGGAGGAGGAGCAATGTTCAGCCCATGTATTCTTACAAAGGCATTTGTATCAGTGAACACATGAAAATCTTACTCAAACGTAGCCTTTCTTGCTTGTTGGTAGACTCCATAAGGACTGACTTCTTTGAAATTCCAAGGTTTGAATTCCACATGTGTTGCTGCCTTCTCAGTCCTCAGTGAATAATACGTGTCCTGTTGGCCCTTTTTCCTTTCTGTAAAGGAGAAAAACATTTTATTTGGGGGATCTGAGAGTTTGGATGGAGTGAGGGGGAAGAATGGGAGAATCCTGACAACAGGAAACTTTTCACTTTCTGAGTGAAAACTCATTTCCATGGTATCAGAGTTCCTTCCCAGAAAACAACATACCTTCCAGGTTACATACAGCTCTTGGTTTTGAATTGCTGAGCTGGTCATTTATAGTCCCTGACTGTAAAACAGATTAGACAAAAGACTTTTAATAATAAATGATTGTATGACAATGTGGATGTACTTAACACTACTAAATTAAACACTAAAAAATCATTAGGAGAGTTAATTTTATGCTACCACATGATTTAGTTAATTCTATTTCAGCACAATTAAGAATAAAAGTGGTTCAGCTGGTGGCTAGTGGTGGTTAAGGCAGCTGGATCCCACATGGTCTCCTGTAATTCGAGTCCCAGACCCAATGACTTGAAAAGTATGTCCAGTGTGGTCATGCATGCATGACACAGAATTCAGAAAGAAGAGACGAAGAAGAAGGGTTAGCTGCACAGTCACTTCCCAAGGGGGCTGGGCGCATTCCCATTTTCCCTCGTGGTTAAGGCAGCTGGATCCCACATGGTCTCCTGTAATTCGAGTCCCAGACCCAATGACTTGAAAAGTATGTCCAGTGTGGTCATGCATGCATGACACAGAATTCAGAAAGAAGAGACGAAGAAGAAGGGTTAGCTGCACAGTCACTTCCCAAGGGGGCTGGGCGCATTCCCATTTTCCCTCTTTTTTTTTCTCTCCCTCTTAGTCTCTCCAGTAAGCACAAGTGTCTAGAAATTACATAGAAAAACAAACAAACAAAAAAACTTTTAAATCATTTTAAAGCAAGTGAAGCAAGTGTTAAATACCTGGTCTCTGCTTTTCATCATCAATGGAAATAACTTTTTTGAACCCGTTGCTTCTTGATCTTCAGTGGAGCAGTTTCCTTCCAGGTCTGCTGTTTCACAGACCTCATTTTCACTTCTTGGGCATAATCCATTAAGAGTGATAGGAAACTGAAACAAAATATTCTCACTAAAACTCAATTCTAAGCACAAAAATTTCCCATTCATATCATGTAATTTTAATCTTTTGAGATACGGCATATCATGAAAGCCAGAATCACAATATAAAAAAAAGCCATTGGGCATTCTGATTTAGAAGCTAGCAGTGCTGGCACCAGTGTCTTTTATGTACTTCAATAAATTACATGTAAGAGTGTATGCGCCACCTCTGAGGTACAGCAGAATTCACCGCTCAAGAGAAAATGCATCCCACACAGTGACCACACTCAGTTCCCTGACCTGCTCTGCCTGAAACATGCCAGGCACTCTCACAAATGCCCAAAACCTGATAGTGTGAAGGAATGGAAGAAGGTGATTACAACATCACCAGGCACTGTGAAAGATGCTCCTTACTCTTTCTCTGTTTTTCTCTCTCTCACTGTCCATCCTGTGCACAGTCTCTACATGAACACATTTTAAAAGCTTGTATGACATTCAGCAGAGATTGTTAACAAAGCTGAAATATACAATAGAAATCATGAAAATCCTGAGGAAATTATGGAAATAACTTTCAATTTCTGTGCAAGTGTTTTCTTTTCCAGTATCTGCACATACATACAAATAAAACATACATAAACATTTCAATAGAAATACTGGATAACATGCTAAAAATATAAATCGTTAACTAAATGCATCCCACAGTTATTTCTATATTTCATGGGAAATTAGTTGATCTAGTTTGGGCTAGAAGAATTATCAAGCCCATGAAGATGAGAAACAAGGCAAAACCATGAGGTATTAATATTTCCTGGTATCTATAACATTCTTGCTTATGGTATAAGAGGATAGATGACTGGGTAATAAGTGGAAAGAAAGAAGGTGGAAGTAGTTCAAGCCAGGGCCCACCCTGTGGTGCAGTAGTTAAGTGCTATGTATCAGAGGCAGAAATGCCTATGGCTGATGCAGTTCAAATCTTATCCCAGGGTCTTGAAAAACATGCTGGTGTGTGTGTGTGTGTGTGTGTGTGTGTGTGTGTGTGTGCACATGTATCCTAATGGGATAGAGAAATGGGGCGGGGGGAGTCTTGTGGCTCAACTCTGCCCCACTGGGGGTGCTTCTTTCTTTCTCTCTCTTTGTCTAGCCCACATGCCCTCTGC